GTGTGGTGGTGGGGTCGGTCAGAATTTGTTGAGACGGGACCAAATTTTGTTAAAAAGAAAATGAGAGAAGCAGCTCTAGTTTTTTCGTGATTAGTGAACATCTTTTAGTTGTGTTTGTATAAAAAAAAATAAAAAATGAAAACCTAATTAAAAATAAAAAAAGATTTAATAGTTTTGTAATATTAAATTACATCCAATGACAAAGAGGAAAAATATGGTCTAACCACACTTGGTGGTTTACTTTGGGTCAGCAGTAAAGTTTCTTTTCATTTATTCAGTAAATAAAGACTATAGGGTATAATTGAATATTTTAAATTAATTTTAACCACCATAAAAAAATATATATACAATTTAAAGCTTTTCTAGCAAATAGAGGAAGAGGAAAAAGGGAAATTAGAGGAGAGGAGATGTGTTAGAAATTTATAGATTTTTCATCCTTTTTCCCAAAAATTTTAATTTTTTTTTTACCAATCATGAATTTTAGAGATTAAAAAACTTTTCTATATTTAATAGAGCTACCAATGGTCATGCCAATATTGAATTTGAATTTTACTATTATAACTAATACAACTGCCAATTATGATTATTTTATCAGTCAATAATGATACATTATCATAAATGTTAGGGATATTAGTTGAACAAAATAAAAATTATGGACAAAAGTATCTTATATTAAAAAAGTTGATAACTGGTGCTAGAAGTTATGATTAAAATTTTAAATGATTTAGAGTATATTGAATTTCTTTTAAAAGTTCAGGGGCCAGCTCCGTCCCTAAAGAATCTATTTATTTCGAATCCTAGTTTCAAAACATTACTTTTTAATTAACATTTTCAAAAATCAATTATTAGATCAAATATTATATTTATATATATCACATATATTATTTTTAAAATTAATTTAAGATGTGTAACCGTTTGATAAAAAAATTATATTTTCGATACATTATTTTAAGAAGCAAAAGCCATGACTATAAGGAAAGCAAGTTCCTCTTAGAAGTTTTTAAAACATAAAAAGGGGTTCCTATTAAAATATGTAGTACGCACAATTAAATGTACTTCAACTTGTGTACTGCAAGAGAACTAAATTCTATAAAAAAAAGACCATGCAATCCCAATCTCCCTTCAGTGCAGTGTCCACATTTTTCCACACCAATTTCCATCTCTGCATCTAGCTTATCAGCAATTTTGCAACAAACTAATCCAAGGTATGCTTTATATTCTCTCCTCTCTTTCTCTATCTCTCCCCTGACTTTGCAACAATAAATTCTATTGCTATTTATTTTTACTGCCCTCGGCAGCATATTAGCGGAGAAGTATACAATCCTTTTTAGGTTGCCTAAAAAAACAAAACAAAAGCTATCCTTTTCCCTCTTTTTGTTAAATAAATGGTAAATTAATGCTATCTTTTTCAAGTTGAAGAAAAATGTGTTGAAAAAAGCTATCCGCGTTTCCTTTATTTATTAGTATATTTTGATTTTTCATTATAATTATTGTTTTTATCACTAAGCATAGGGAATAAGTGAGCCCCCCCTCGGATGGATAAAACCACCGAGTCGAGCATTTGAACCTAATCCAGCCTTCCCTTCCCCACTTGTAGACAAAAGGGTCTGAATGGCTTAAATGAATTCCACAGTTTTTGTGGAATTCATTTCTATTTCTATATCTATTATATATGGTTTATTTTACAAGTGTTGTGGTGTGTGTAGGAATACTCTTCAGCAATTCTAATTTTTTTTTGTTTAAAAATATATATTACAAAACTACTCATCCCTAATCTTATAAAACCCTCCACATTTTAAATCAAACTAAACTCTTTATACAACCTAAGTAGCCCATATAAATAAAATATTTT